ATCCTCGGCCCTATAAACAATTAATTCTTGTACAGAGATTGCCAAATGGTCAGACCATAACACTAGATTCCTAATGATTACTGCCACCAGAGGGAACTAAGTTATTGGCCATGTACAAACCAAAGCAAAACTCAAAATTAATGAAGAATAAAATTAATATTAGAAAAATACAGACTCAGCAAAATTCTGGAATCTTTTGGGGTATGTAGTTCAGGCTGGTCTTGAACCCATGTTGTAGCCCAGTCTGGCCTTGAACTTGTGGTGATTCTCCTGTCTCAGCCTCCTGTGTGCTGAGATTACAGGTGTGGGCCACCACTCCTGGCTCACCTTTCCTCTTTTAACTTGTGGGTATCAAGTATTTCGTCTCAGCAACAAGGAAAGTAAGTCAGAACACATGCCAATAGTTTTATTTAACTTTAAATAAGTGAACCATACAGATGTTACAAACCATTCAAAGGAGCATTCAAACAGCAAACATGCTTATAGATCAGGAATATTGAACTTGGAAATGGATGCAAAATTGGCTTTTCTACAGAGGTGGGAGCTCTCCCTTCACTGGATAGATTTCTTGCACATGTGCACAGGCAAGAATCATTTTTATTGCCCTTGGTTTTCTACAAATGAACTTTAAACTCTACAGAGTTCTATAATAGTCTAGTCCCAGATAAAGGCAAATATCTTTTAAGATCAAATAATCTCCCAAACTTTAGTATGCTATTGAAAGAATATTTATCACTTTGCTTATTTCAAAGTGTTAAGTGTCTCCTTCTAACTAGAATTTGCTTGTCTGTTGTTTGTTTTTGGTGGTACTGACAATTAAAAAAAGGGCCTTTACCGAGAACCACAAGTTGCAAATTGAATAGGTCATTTTGTATCAAAAGGTCAATTATGAAGCACCTAGAACTTTTCAACTATAAAAGTATATTCTCTGGGTTCTGCTACGGCCCAGACATTTTTTTTTTTCTATTGTGGGTTTTGATTTTTTTCCCCAGAAATTGGTTTTATTTGATGTACCCAAGTCTTAAGTTTCTCAATAAAGAAAAAAATCTCCATTAAAAAAAGGGGGGGGGGGCTTCACCTGATTCAAACCAGGGTAATAGCCTCAGCACTTAAACATTTTTTTATTCTGGGACAAGTTCTTGCTAAATTACTAAATTACCCAGGCTGGGCTCAAACTTAATCTTTCTGCCTAAGCTTCCCGGAGTTCTGGGATCATAGGTGTGTGTCAGCTCACCAGGAACAAACCAGAGGCTTTAAGGCATGAGCTAGAGGAAAAAGGTTCTGGTGATTCATAGGTCTTGAATTCTGGCCCAGTGTTAATTGTTCACTCAAAAATATATATATATATTTTTGGTACCGGGGATCGAACTCGGTTCCTTCCACTTGCAAGGCAGGTGGCGGAACCACTGAGCTAAATCCCTGGCCCCCACTCAAAAATATTTTATCTATCATTTATTGTGGCCTAGGACAGAACTAGATCAGGTAAATTTTGAAAAGAATGGATCATGGTCCTTGCCCACAAGTTACTCACACTGTTATTATGAAGACAAGACATACAGAGAACTGCAAGTCAAATTTAACTTCACTTTAACTTCAAAATTGCAAATACAATTGGAAAATAGAGCAGTGGGGTGATTAGGGTGGAATTTCAATGTGATTGGCTTTAGAACCTGCCCTGGGAATTGGTGCAGCACACTTATAGGTGTGTCTGGGTGTGTTGTGGAAGCATGGCTTTGGAAGTCTCCATCTGGTCTCTTGCCCCTCCTTCTCTAGCCCTCTTCCCCTGTTCTGCTTCCTGGCCACCATGATGTCTCTTTGTAGCCAGCAGACCATGGGCTGAAACCATGAACAAATTAAATCTTTCCTCCTTTAAATTGTGGGTTTTGAGTATTGTGTCTCAGCAATGGAAAAGCTAAAACAGGCAGTAAAAAACAAACACAGTTGATCATTATTACTTGAGGCTTCTATGTTTGCAAACTTGTCTGCATTTATCAGTAAAATTTATCTGACACCTCCAGTCATTCTCGGACACATACAGAGCAGGGTTGTTGAGTGTGGCTGTTTCTTGCTGGAGCAGAGCAGGACAAGCTTTTCCTTCTTTCAGCCCTCACGCTGTAAACAGCTGTCCTTTCACAGTCTATTTAGTGCCACTTTTCTACTTTTGTTGGGGAAGGAATTCTGGGGATTGAACCCAGCCAGGGCCTTCACACTGAGCTACATCTCAGCCCCTTTTAATTTTGAGACGGAGTCCTGCTAAGTCACTGAATTGCCCAGCCTGGGCTCAAACTTTTGATTCCTCTGCCTCAGCCTCCCACAGCGATGAGATTATAGGCATGTACTGTATCACAGTGCCCAGGTTTTCCACAGTTTTACTAATTTTTTTTTATTGGCATAGATCTCTAGCACAGCTGCCTGATAAGCATGGAAGCCAATGCTATGACACAGTCTTTGCAAAACAAAAGAGCTTTATTGCGCAGCTGAGCTAGCGAGGAGGCCAGGAGCTAACAATTCAAAATCTGCCTCCCCTGATCAATCCTGGTAGTGGAAGAATTCACAGAAAGGGAAAGGAGAGAAGCTGCCTGTTGGCTGGATGACCATATAAGGAGCATATGTTTATTTGGGAGGTGGGTGGCTGTGTTCTGCAGAGGGGACACTGCTGGCTACCACGACAAGCTGGCTTTTCCTGTTCAGGTTCAGCTTGAAACGCCAGTTCCAAATCCTTAGAAGTGCAGTAAAAGGCCGAGAGGCTTTTCCTGGAAGACAAGTGAAGGAATTTCTGACTGGGGAGGCCTCGAGCCCCTCCCCCCTGATTTCACCATTAAGTGTTCCTAATTCAAATGATGTAACTGTCACAAAAATACGTGTGCCAGATAAGGTTTGTTTAGTTATGGGTTGTAGTGCTGTTCGTGCTGAGTTCAGTGTTAATGAATTAACAATAAATATTAAATAAGAAATCTTTAAACACAAACACACACAAAAACAAATTATGTATTGATTGGTTCATCGCCTGATCAGAGGCCCACAGGAACCTAGCCCTGTTTTCCTTATGGTTGAGTATTCCTTAATTCAGTGTTCCCAGCAATTTTATAGAACCTCTGTTGGGAGCAATGCTACATAATTCTACGGAAAAATCATTTGGTTAGCCTAGTTCTCTTGCCTACAGCCAAGCTACAGAATAACTCCAGTTTGGCCTCCGGTCACAACTGAGACTTCAGTGATCCAGTGATGCTGTGATTCTCCAGGACAAGAAACATCCTGGGAGAACAAACATCTGCTCAGTTCCTCATTGTTCTTGGACTGATTAACATCTTGTTTGCGGAGATGTACTGAACTCTCTGCAAGCCTTCCCTTACACCTTGTTTATCCCAATGTGAACTATTGAACTCTCTGCAAGTCATTTGTTACATTTGTTTCTCCCCGTGTACTGAATAAAAGGTGTGGTAAACTGGGGGCTTTGTGTTTGCTGCCCAGAGCAGCAATGATCAGACCCAAAGCTCAGCTTCTTCTCAGTCTCATTTTTCTACCTTTCCTGTAATTCGCCGTGTGCTGCCGTGGCTCGCAGGAGACCAGGACTCACTGCAGAGGTTCTGGTAACGTCCCCTTCCCCTGTCCCCTACAACCTCAACACTGTGAGTAATGAAAATAACTATACACTGAAGGAAAAAGTATATTGCAAAATTAACACAAGGGGAAAAAGGCCTTTCCAAGTGGTGTGCTTTGGGTCTAGATGTCTCCCCAAAGCCTCATGGAGCTTTTTCACAGGTTACTGAATCTAGAGTGCATGATAGATTCCTGGTGCAACGCTAGGCTCTAGGGCACTAGGATTAAGGGTGTGAGTGCTGCCAGTCTGAATAAGACAAAAGGAGCAGAAAGACTTCTTTCGTTGCTTTGCTAACTTCAGACTGCTTCTCAGAACTGCCGCCCCTCTGCCATGTGCCACCCTGCCTTGGGGGCCAGCCCGTTATGGACTGAAACCTAAACAAACTGAGCTAAACAAACCCTTCCTCCTTTAACTTTGGGTCCCGGGTATTTTTTGTCTCAGCAACAAGAGAAAAGTAACTAAGACACCAAGAAATTTATACAATCCTCTACCATATACCCCACAAAAGCAGTGATCCTGCCTCCTGTCTTTATTCTTCCTCAGTGTTTTCTCTCACTCTCCCCTTCAATGTTTTCTGAGAATCTATAGTTTTATACTAGATTTGATAGTGACGGACCCTCAACACATACGTACATTTATAAAATGTATTCTGTGGATGCATTACCTCAAAATGTGTGGGACCACAGTTGCATGGGAACCCAGAGAAGGATAGTTCCTCAACTTGGGCAGCCACCTTTTGAATCTTCCCATTACATTTTTAAAAGAAGGTAAAATTACATACATCATATATAATAAGTATATGTTATATATCCTGGCTCCCATTACATTATAAAATGAGGTAAAATTACATATATCATCTACATCTATCTATATCTATAATTTACCTATACATCTATAATCTTGGCTCTCATACTCTAACCTACCCATAGATCTTAAAAAAGCTGCCCAGACTTTCATTTCTTTCTGTGCCTTTAAGAGGAAAATCAGGAATCTTGCCCTATTCGGAAATGGCTGCCTGGCTTCACATGCTGTGCGCATGCTCTTTGAACGCGAACCGGAGTTTGAAGAGTGGTCTCTTCCTGGGGAAGATGGCGGCTTGGCCAGCGGTGGGACTGCAGCTCCCAGCATGCCTCGCAGCCAGGCCGGGAGCCGGGACTCGGAGTGATGGGGGCCCTGGGGAGCTTTAGGTCGGCGAGCGGGCCGTAAATTTTTTTGTGCAGCGCGAGGCCTGGGAACTGGACGCCGCGGAGGGGAAGATGGAAGCGTGGCGCTGTGTGAGGAGGGGCTACGGCCGCTGTGTGGTGGGGAGAGGCCGGTCAGTAGGGCTGTGACTGGAGGGAGGAGGAAGGGGCGGGCGGCCGCGGTTGGCCCGGGGCGGGGCGGGGCGAGCGCGGAGCGCGGAGGAGGAAGAGGAAGAGGGTCGGGGCCGCGGCCACGGCCGCGGAGACCCCGAGGTCCCGCAGAGCCGCCCGCGCCTGTTTGCCGTGCTGCCGCCCTGAGGCCGCGCGTTCGGCCCGCTCGGCCCGGCCCCGGTGGTTTGTGGTTAGTGGGCGTCCCCGTCTCCCACTCCCACTCTGCTTCCTTGCTTGCCACCTTGGCGACCTCCGACTTCTCGCTCCTTCCGTTCGGATCCATTGGCTGGTTTTCTTTAAATTGACTCACTTAAAATAAATAAAAAAGAAAAGCACTGCGCGAGCTGCGTTAACATCGCCCTCAGTAGTGCCTGCGAAATCTTGGGTTTGATGTTTCCCCCCAATAAGCTTGAAGTACTTCAGTGCTACAAATCCAAAAGTTAAATTGTGTGACTTGTGCAACCTACGAGTCGGAGCACAGCACTATTCTATTCCGTAAGTCGTGGGGATCTGCTTTTGACCCCCGCTGGGCTGGGGCAGGGTGGCAGTTTAGGTCATCAGCGTTTCCTGAGTACCAGCTGTGTGCTAGGCACTGTGCTAGGCACTTGCGAAGAGCCCAGAATGAAAGTAAGTAAGATTCTGGCCCCCAAAGCTCAAAGACATCTGAATAGACAACTGTCAAATACAGAGAATAACTGTTAAGTCTGCTGTATTTGATAGTTTTATATTTCAATATTGTAGTCCGTTTTATATTTCGGTATGGTAGCTTATTAGGATAGAAAATGTACGGACCACGAGCGTAAATTCCTATGGCTTTCAGAGTTATCACAGCAGGACAGAGTGCCCATGTCATGCCTTTAAAGACTTACGATTAAGTTTATTTTAGCAATTTGAGACTAAACTGCAAAGAAATGAAATAAAAATTTAAGTGCTTTCAGAATGAAAAACAGTATATAAAAGTCAAATAATAGTATCTGCAATTCAACAGAATTCTGTTAGTGATAGAAATGCACATTATCTTCATCATCTTAGAGATGTACTTGGAATGAATTCCAGAGGAGAAGATAAGAAATCCTTCTCTGAATCCTAATATTTTGCCAAAATAGTAGAGAGATGACTTCAGCTGCCGTGTTGTTTGAGAACCTGATAGTAACATAGGTATTAAAAGTAATCTTACCACTACTTTGGAGGTGTTTTGGGTGGTAGGTAAATTGATGGTGTTGCTCTGGAGTGTTGAATTCCTAGTAAGTAATCTCTACCCTCTTTCGTTTCCCCCAAGAAGAAACATGCTTTGAAAAACAAAGGTCCACCCACTGGGTAGCAAGGGAAGTAGTTTTGTGAAGTTGTGATAGACTGTTTTGTTACGAGTGTTAGGGGAATATCTATTCTTATTGGAAGAAAACACTGTTGAGATACCTTTTTATTCCCAGCCCAGGCTGGAGGAGAGATTTGCTTTAATTACAGTCTGGTACGTGTTCCACTTTTAAGTATTATGTTTGTTGGGAGTTACAGTTTTCCATTGAGTTTTTGGTGCTGCCAAGCTACTGTGAGTACTTGTCAGATGGTTGGTTAGTGTCTCCACTGGACTGTGGACTTTCTGAGGAGTAGGTGGCTTTTTGGGACTCACCTGTTGAGTATTTAGAATACCACTGGAAGTTGTTTAGGGGAAGAGGATGGAGGTGTTGATGCTAATACCTAAGCCATGGGTGCTTTCCCCTTCATCCTTCAGATTTAGAAGTCAGATTTTAAGTATTAGACGTTATCTTCTATCAAGGAAATGGATCTAGATTTTGTATACTATAGTTGACCAAAGAGTGGTGCCTCAAGGAGTGTATTTATTTCTTTTAGATACCCCATGTTTCCCCATCACTCCAGGAGTCTGGGCGGAGACTGGACTACACCGTGGGAGGATCTGCAGCGGTGCTGCTGGAACAGACATATTTCTAGTTGTATGAGGTGGCCCGGACACTATTCCCGCGCCCCCTACCCATACTTGAGTAGCAGGCATTTCTCACTGAAGTGGAGACCACCTTGTTTGTTTGCGTCTAGAACTCAGTTTCCATACTGTAACTGGAGATCCGGCCACCTGAACCAGACATCCTTGCTTCACCTGTCTAGTTACAGCATGAACTCAGAGGGAGATGAGCCTTCGTCAAAGCGAAGAAAACACCGAGGTAAAGGTGATGGTTATCTTGGATGGCATAGACATAAATGGTAGGCTCAGTTGGAGCTATCATGGTGAATCGTAGGTGTCACAGGCGTTTGGTGTTAGGAAAAAAGAAACTGTTTTTGAAATGAAATATTTATTTTTATTTTCAGTGGTATATTTCAGGCCATAAAAATAGAAGTGACTTTACAGATTGAGTAAGATTGAAAAAGAATGTAGAAAGAGATTAAAACCCTAACTTTTTTTTTTTTTTGGCACCGGGGATCGAATAAAACCCTAACTTTAATATAAGAATAATTTTCATATTCAGCATTTTTTTTTTTTT